TTAACAGGTACTTCTAATTGCCTATTCTACATATAGGGTTAACAGGTACTTCTAATCACCCACTTTACATAAAGGGTTAACAGGTACTTCTAATCACCCGCTTTACATAAAGGGATAACAGGTACTTTTAATCACCCACTTTACATAAAGGGATAACACGTACTTTTAAGTAGTATTTACATTTCTAATCAAATAGTGTTGTTTTAACAGTGTTGATAAGTTACTAAGAAATACGATGACATTTACAAGGCTTTTACTACACAGATAATTATATCGTTTACTACTTCGTTACAAAACATCGTCTGGACAGGAGGGAGGAAGCATGGTCCACCTCCTTCTGGTTCGATATTTACATACACATGCTTCTGAGTTGAGTTGAGTTGAGTACAAATCGTTCTATGAATTATATGACAGCCTGTCATACTAATAGGAGGTTTTGAAACATGTAGTAAACAGTCTCAAAAATAAAACATATATATTCCAATGAAAGCACCCAGAGGCTCATCATTTTAAGTATCAGTCGTTACCGTAACAATTGTAGCACTATATGACTGTAACACTATATGATGGTAACAATTGTAGCACTATATGATGGTAACAATTGTAGCAGTATATGATGGTAACAGTTGTAGCAGTATATGACGGTAACAGCTGTAGTACTATATGATGGTAACAATTGTAGCACTATATGATGGTAACAGTTGTAGCAGTATATGATGGTAACAGTTGTAGCAGCATATGACGGTAACAATTGTAGCACTATATGACGGTAACAATTGTAGCACTATATGATGGTAACAATTGTAGCACTATATGATGGTAACAACTGTAACACTATATGATTGTAACAATTGTAGCAGTATATGATGGTAACAGTTGTAGCAGTATATGACGGTAACAGCTGTAGTACTATATGACGGTAACAATTGTAGCACTATATGATGGTAACAATTGTAGCACTATATGATGGTAACAGTTGTAGCAGCATATGACGGTAACAATTGTAGCACTATATGACGGTAACAATTGTAGCACTATATGATGGTAACAATTGTAGCACTATATGATGGTAACAACTGTAACACTATATGATTGTTGTTACAGTCATATAGTGCTACAATTGTTACCGTCATATAGTGCTACAATTGTTACCATCATATAGTGCTACAATTGTTACCATCATATAGTGCTACAATTGTTACCATCATATAGTGTTACAGTTGTTACAATCATATAGTGTTACAGCTGTTAAGTAAAATTTGCTTACCGTGATACAGTGTTACAGTTGTTAAGTAACATTTGCTTACGCCATATAGTGTTACAGTTGTTCAGTAACATTTTTACCGTCATATAGTGTTACAGTTGTTACTGCCATAGAATGTTACAATGCTACAATTGTTAAGTAACATTTGTTTATCGTCATATAGTACTACAGTTGTTCAGTAACATTTGTGATAGTAATAGTTGTTACCATCAAGAAGTGTTACAGTTGTTACTGTCATACAATGTTACAGTTGTTAAGTAACATTTGATTACTGTCATAACAGTTGTTCAATAACTGCTGTGACTGCCATCAGTGTAGCAGTTGATAATTTTTGTGAGGATTTCATTAACAGTAGCAGCTGTTGATATTGTGAATCTTTTCTTTATATATGCTAACTGATAGTGTCAACTGTCCAAACCGTTGTGTTTCCAACTTAAATTAGAAATCATTCTAACGTGTTTCTCTAATACTTTTTAATTGTAAATCCATCTTCCTAGCATCTGGATCATTAGTTAATCCAGTGAACTCTCTCCTCTAGCCACTATATCTCCTTATGCTGCTGTGGACATCGAACAGTCTTCATTTATAAAAGATCCAGCTGTGGTGGTGCCTACTGTTTGTGCCATCTTCGTCATCTTGGTGATTATTTTAATGTCTGCTTTAGTTATTATATGGAGAAGAAGAGAAAGAGAACCTGACGCAGGTATGTTTAGAATAACTCAGATTTATGACGGTAAAACGTGTTTGTCTAGAAATTATTTGTGTGTGTGTGTGTGTGATGGAATGTTTAGTTTGCCTTCTCATCTACAATTAAATTATTGTTTACAGATTTTTAGTTGACCCCTTACTCAAGGCATAGGTTGGACGTTTGTGCCATCTCAGAGCTTTTGCTGATTGTGTATTATTCTGCTCAGCTTGTCGTTTTTTTTTAATATTTTACAAGTAAGTTAATCCTGCAATATGATATAACAAGATTCTAATCCGTATCATTCATGAGACGAAGTTACATCGTTAAAGTTTATGTTGAAAAAGCAACCCATATTAAAGTAAAAACTAAAAAAAAAGTACGTTATGCTTTAAGTTTCGAGAAATTATGGAAGCAGAGAGGACAACATTTCCATGAACTCTTATGGAAAGATAAAGAGTACTACTTCTACTGATGCCCAGAGGGAGCCAGTGTATTATCCGTCTCATTACGCAACCACGCATACTCCAGCTGAGAATGCAGACCGAGTTAACCACGCTACCATAAGAAGGGTCAGAAGTAGGCCATCCGACTATACCTACGACATCCCTCTTCGACAGGTTTGAAACTATCAGGTTCTAACATTCATAATGAGTTCCTTTAATCCACATTGAGATAACAGAGTGTCTCGCTTATCCTTTTCTACAATTTATTATTAATAGAAACTTATAATACACTCAAGTAGCAATTAGTGCTTGTTAAACAATAGTTAACACACCTAGTGTCGACATTATCAACACCGAAACTATGTAAATAACTAAAGTAATGTAAATAACTTCAAGTTACTTTTTGATGTTAATTCCTAACAAATAAGTGTTTTTTTATCATTTCTATCTTTGAATAAGTAAATAGTTTTCTTATTTCTGTTTTTGTTGTATTTTAACACTTTCACGAAATTTGATATTTCTACTAATGAAAGAATGCAAGGCAAACGATAAATTGGTTATAAAATCAATTGAAATTGGAAATCCTTCACGAAAAATGAAGGTGGCAAAGAAGTTGAAACGTAATATCTTCTTGTTGTTTTATAAAGATGTGTAGCCTATATTTAAAATAATGACTTAGCTAATTTAGCATGACTTTTTCAGCAGCACGTGGAAGACTCTATGCACCAATACTCGGTTCTATGGACCAACTCCCACGCCGGTAGAGAACAAATGTACGAGAAACATATTCGAGGTATAGTTTGCAATATAAATATAATTTATTATAGAAAAATGTTGGCGAAGCAATTTTAAAGTTTAGTTTGTAATAATAAGTGCGTCTGCTGTTCTACCAAATATGTAAATTGTTTGGCTTACTATTCCATACGAAATATAATGTGTTTTAGATTTAATATGTAACTGGGGATGTCTTGAACACAAGCAAGGCTTCACATTGTGTATCAGTAAAATATCAATCTGAAACCAATATCAAATATATTAACAAAAAAATGTCTGTGACTTTAATGTGAGTAAACCAGCATTGTTATGTGGAATATTAAATGAGCTGAACATATTTTTACAATCCAAGCACGCTTCACTAACACCAAGACAGTCACTACACGAGTTTAGTTCTTTGCATGAATTTCTCAAAGAAGAAACGAAAGGCCTTCATCCACTGCATTTAGAAACTTTAGTCCACTGTATTGAGAGACCTTCTTCCACTGTATTTAAGGGCCTTCAAATACTGCATTTAGAAACTTTCATCCACTGTATTTGGGAAACCTTCTTCCATTGTATTTAGAGACCTTATTCTACTGCATTTAGAAAACTTCTTCCACTGTATTTAGAGACCTTCATCTACTGTATTTAGAAACTTCATTCCAATGTATTTAGGAACATTCTTCCACTGTATTTAGAAACTTTAGTCCACTGTATTTAGAGACCTTCTTCCATTGTATTTAAGACCTTCATCTACTGCACTTAGAAACTTTCATCCACTGTATTTAGAAACCTTCTTCCATTGTATTTAGAGACCTTCATCTACTTCATTTATAAACCTTCTTCCATTGTACTTAGAGACATTCATCTACTGCATATAGAACCTTAAGTCCACTGCATTTACAAACTTTCATCCACTGTATTTAGAAACCTTCTTCCATTGTACTTAGAGACCTTCATCCACTGTATTTAGAAACATTCTTCCATTGTTTTGAGAGACCTTCATATATTGCTTTTAGAAACCTTCTTCAACTGTATTTAGATACCTTCATCCACTGTATTTAGAGACCTTATTCTACTGCATTTAGAAACTTTAGTCCAATGTATTTAGAGATTTTCTTCCACTGTATTTAGGAACCTTCATCTACTGCATTTAGAAACTTTAGTCCAATGTACTTAGAGATCTTCTTCCACTGTATTTAGAAACCTTCATGTAATGCATTTAGAAACTTTAATCTACTGTACTTAGAAACCTTCTTCCATTGTATTTAGAGACCTTCATCTACTGCATTTAGAAACTTTCATCCACTGTATTTATTATACCTTCGTCCACTGCATTTAGACACCTTCATCTACTGCACTTAGAAACGTATCCACTGTATTTAGACTTTAGTCCACTGCATTTAGAAACCTTCTTCCACTGTATTTAGAGACCTTCAACCACTGCATTTAGAAACTTTCATCCACTCTAGTTAGAGACTTTCATCTACTGTATTTAGGGGCATTTATTCATTGTATTTATGGACATTCATCCACTGTATTTAGTAACTTTCATCCACTAAATTTAGCAACTTTCGTGCACTGCACTTAGAAACTTTCATCTACTGTATTTAGAATTTAGTCCACTGTATTTAGAGACCTTCTTCCACTGTATTTAGAAACCTTCTCTCTACTGTATTTAGAAACTTTCATCCACTGTATTTATTATACCTTAGTCCACTGCATTTAGACACCTTCATCTACTGCATTTAGAAACTTATCCACTGTATTTAGACTTTAGTCCACTGTATTTAGAGACCTTCTTCCACTGTATTTAGAAACCTTCAACCACTGCATTTAGAAACTTTCATCCACTCTAATTAGAGACCTTCATCTACTGTATTTAGAGGCCTTTATTCATTGTATTTAGGGACATTCATCCACTGTATTTAGTAACTTTCATCCATTAAATTTAGAAACTTTCCTCCATTGCACTTAGAAGCTTTCATCTACTGTATTTAGAGATATTCATCCACTGTATTTACAGACCTTGATCTACTGTATTTAGAGATCTTCATCTACTACATTTAGAAACTTTCATCCACTGTATTTATTAGACCTTAGTCCACTGTATATAGAAACCTTCATCTACTGTATTTAGAAACTTTCATCCACTGTATTTAGACACTTTCATTTACTGCATTGAAAACTTTCATCTACTGTAATTAGACTTTAGTTTAATGTATTTAGAGACCTTCTTCCACTGTATTTAGCGATCTTCATTCACTCTGTTTATTAACTTTCATCCACTAAATATTCTTGATTTAGTCTGGAAAGGAAGTAATTGGATTAACCTGAAAATACAGTTGGTTATAACCATAACTGTTGTGAAAAGTCCAAATACGACGAACAAAATTATAGAATATTCTGTTTTGTGCTTGTATGAATTAAACACCAAACTTCTTATCCCCCCAGACAGCTATATAAGAAATGACTAGGTTTTTATCCGAGAAATACGAACTGTTTCTGGAAAAGATGGTTTAGAAGCTACAATTTTATTATTATGATACCTTAAAATGCTAAAAAAGAAACACAATAATACCAATCCATGACTAAATACTGCTAATCCAACAACTGCCTTATTTTAGCTGCCCTCCCGCCAAACGTGCCAGACGACGTGGAAGAAATAAGAAGCAAAGATATCACCAAAAGGTAGTGTAATAATTACACATGTGTTTATATGGGTTGTGTATTTGTTGTAATAAGTACACCTGTATTTAATAAACGTATGTCAAACCAGTGTTTATATGCTGTGTATTTGTTCTAATATCTACACATGTGTTTAAGGTACGTACATCAAACTTTGTTTCTGTGGTTGTGTATTTGTTCTAATATCTACACATGTGTTTAAGGTACGTACATCAAACTTTGTTTCTGTGGTTGTGTATTTGTTCTAATATCCACACATGTGTTTAAGGTACGTACATCAAACTTTGTTTCTGTGGTTGTGT